ATAATTTCGAGAAATGGCTAAGTAAAATCCGAAATCCCGAAGTGCGATTTCGGTAGCGAAATCCTGAACCTACGTCCGGATACAATTTCGAGAAACGGCGAAGTAAAATCCTGAAATCCCGAATTGCGATTTCGGTAGCGAAATCCTGAACGTACGTCTACATATAATTTCGAGAAACGACTAAGTAAAATGCCGAAATCTCGAACTGCGATTTCGGTAGCGAAATCCCGAACCATCGTCCGGATACAATTTCGAGAAACGACTAAGTAAAATCCCGAAATCTCGAAGTTGGATTTCGGTAACGAAATCCCGAACGCACGTCCGGATATAACTTCGAGAAACAGTAAGTAAAATTCCGAAATCCCGAAGTGCGATTTCAGTAACGAAATCCTGAACACACGTCTGGATATAACTGCGAGAAACGACTAAGTAAAATCTCGAAATCCTGAAGTGCGATTTCGGTAGCGAAATCCCGAACGTACGTCTGGATATAACTTCGAGAAAGGACTATGTAAAATCCCGAAATCCCGAGCTGCGATTTCGGTAGCGAAATCTCGAACCTACGTCTGGATAGAATTTCGAGAAACAGCTAAAATCCTGAAATCCTGAAGTGCGATTTCGGTAACGAAATCCCGGACGCACATCCGGATATAACTTTGAGAAAAGACTAAGTAAAATCCCAAATCCCAAAGTGCGATTTCGGTAGAGAAATCCCGAACGTACGTCTGGATATAACTTTAATAAACGGCTAAGTAAAATTCCGAAATCCCGAAGTGCGATTTCGGTAACGAAATCCCGAAGGTACGTCTTGATATAATTTCGAGAAACGGCTAAGTAAAATCCCGAAATCCCGAAGTGTGATTTCGGTAGCGAAATCCCGAACGTACGTCTGGATATAATTTCGAGAAACGTCTAAGTAAAATCCCTAAATCCCGAACTGCGAGTTCGGTAGCGAAATCCCGAACCTACGTCTGGATACAATTTCGAGAAACGGATAAGTAAAATCGTGAAATCCCGAAGTGCGATTTCGGTAACGAAATCCTGAACGCACGTCTGGATATAACTTCGAGAAACGGCTAAGTAAAATCTCGAAATCCCGAAGTGCGATTTCAGTAGCGAAATCCCGAACGTACGTTTGGATATAAGTTTAAGAAACGAATAAGTAAAATCTCGAAATCCCGAAGTGCGATTTCGATAGCGAAATCCCGAACGTACGTCTGGATATAACTTCGAGAAACGGCTAAGTAAAATCCCGAAATCCCAAAGTGCGATTTCAGGAACGAAATCCCGAAGTGTGATCCCGAACGTTCGTTCGGATATAGTTTCGAGAAATGACTAAGTAAAATCCCGAAATCCCAAATGCGATTTCGGTGGCGGAATCCTGAACATACGTCCAGATAAAACTTCGAGAAACGGCTAAGTAAAATCCCGAAATCCCGAAGTGCGATTTTGGTAGCGAAATCCCGAACGTACATCCAGATATTACTTCGAAGAACACTACGATGGCTTAATAGAGTTTTTCATCACATTAATGGACATTTCGGCTTTCCAAACCACGAATTCGCAAACATGGATTCCGTCTTCACCAACACAAAGCAAGAATTCGGATTTAAAAACCACGAATTCGCTAACATTTCGCCAACAAGCTTCGCTATCCAATTCGGCTTATTTTCCGGGGTTCATTTACCACGAGTGGAGGGAGACAGAGAGAGAGAGAAAGCTTGCCAGGAAGCTCTCTCTCTCTGCCGTAACGTGGAGAGAGGGAGAGAGAGAGAGAGAGAGGGAGACAGAGAGAGAGAGCGGGAGAGAGAGGGAGACAAAGAGAGAAAGAGCTTCTGCGGCAAAAGAACAATCTCGTAAGAAATCTCCAAAGATATTACAAAAAAAACAAGTCAATTGCTCAAAGGTAACACCCCCTCTCTCTCTCTCTCTCTCTCTCTCTCACACACACACACACTCAAAAGAAGTCAATTGCTCAAAGGTAACACTCCCTCTCTCTCTCTCTCTCTCCCTCTCTCTCTCTCTCTCTCTCTCTTTCTCTCACTCACTCACTCACTCACATAACCTTTTTCTGAAGCTATTAAAACAAAAACTATCATATTTTCCCTAACAAAAATCTCTCTCTCTCTCTCTCTCTCTCTCTCT